GTCCAGGTTAATTGTCTAGACCAACAGGTGTCAGGGTCTTCCCACGTAAAGGTAAATAGCGGCTGCGAGTCTGAGTGGAGAGGTATAGTGAAAAAGGCATCTTTAAGGTCTAGCACTGTAAAATGAGAGGTACTGGAGGGGACTTGAGACAGAAGAGAATATGAGTTAGGCACCACTGGGTGTAAGGAAATAACAGCCTCGTTAATTATTTGGAGGTCTTGAACGAGGCGATATGCTCCAGAAGGCTTTTTTACTGGCAAGATGGGAGTATTGCATGGAGAGTTAGTGGGTACTCAAAGCCCCTGTGAGAGCAGATGATTAACAATAGGCTGCAGTCCCCTTTGGTGAGCCTGCAAAATAGGAAACTGAGGCCGAGAAGGGAAGAGGGATGGGTCTTTAAGATGTATTAAAACTGGGGTGCGGTGGGTTGCTACTACAGGAGTGGAGATGTCCCACATGACCGGATTGACAGCAGTCCAGGGAGTTGGGAAACTCAGGTCCCCGTCATCTAACCCCCCTTCGCCGACCAAAGCAATGAGGGAATTTCTGATGTCCTGTAAGTGTTCAAAAGGTGGGAGAGAAATAGAGGCTCTTAACTTATAGAGCAAATCCCATCCTGACAGAGGGGTAGGACAGGAAGGCATGTCTAGAAAGGAATGGGTAAATGGGATGCTTTGAAAGGTGTAGGCTAATGGGTCTGTCTCTAGAGGCCTGGAGAGGATTCCCATGACCCCAACTATGGAGACTCTGGCAGGATATAAAGGCCCTTTAAAGGAGGGGAGAACAGAGTAGGTAGCCCCCATGTCCACCAAGAAGGAGATGGGCTTACCTGCTACCCACAGCTTGGCCCTGGGCTCGGCGAGGGTGATCGGGGTGTCCAAGTCCAGACGTCTTCAATCTTCAAGGATCCCCAGCAAGTCTGAAGGGTAGTTTTTTGAGGATGTCTGCCCCCCCGTGGGGCTCTGCTGCTGGAGGAGGACTACCCCCTAGTGGACAGTCTACTTTCCAATGACCTCGCTTACTGCAGCTGGGGCATGGTTTGGTCAGTCTGCGTGGTTGGTTGGTTGGGGCACTTCCATGCCCAGTGCCCTTCTTCGCTGCACTGAAAGCAAGGGCCCAGAGGTTCGAGTCGATCTTCAGGGACACCCTGACAACCTCTACGAGCCAGCTGCAGAGCAGCTGTTATGGCACGAGTCTGTTCTGCCATTCAGGCAGCTGACCTCTTCTCACTCTCATCCTCTCGGGCATGAAAAACTTTAAATGCCATACCCTTCTTCACCGCACTGAAAGCAAGGGCCCAGAGGTTCGAGTCAATCTTCAGGGACACCCCAACAACCTCTACGAGCCAGCTGCAGAGCAGCTGTTATGGCGTGAGTCTGTTCCGCCATTCAGGCAGCTAACCTCTTCTCCTCTCGTCCTCTTGGGCATGAAAAACTTTAAATGCCATATCTACCAGGTCTCCTTGAGGGGTCTGGGGACCACCCCCAGCCTTTTTAAGCTTGCACCTGATGTCGGGAGCCGACTGAGTTATAAAATGCATAGCCAGGAGAGAGAAACCTAACGCTGAGGCCGGGTTGATCTTAGTAAAAGCCCCTAGGGTTTCCTTTAGGTGCTTGAGGAATTCTGATGGGTTTTCATCAGGCCTCTGGGTAATCTCTCTAAGCTTATTGTGATTGATGGCTTTTTGAGTGGTTGAGTTCATACTCCCCAACAAGTAGTGAACCATGAGATCCTGGCATGCCTCACCCTTGGGTTCTTGTAGAGGAACAGCCTCTCTGCCCATAGGTTCCCATTCATCTGTGGTGTGTACCTCATTGGCACAGTCATATTCCTCCGGGGTTAGAGTAGATTGGACTACTACATGTACATTGTGCCAGGTGAGCTTGTAAGCTCGAGTGAGATACTTAAACTGTTTAGTGAACATTACGGGGTTGGAGGAGAAGGACCCTAATTGCTGTTACACTTGGGACAAGTCTGCCAGGGAAAAGGGAACATGAACCTGCACCACCCCTCCAGCCCCCACGACCCCTCTCAGAGGAGCCATCACATGAGATTGAGACCACTGTGACTTAGAGCAGGTTATGGGAGGGCTAGACCATTTGGGCACTAGCTGTGGTGAGTAGGACGGTGGTGGGTTTGAAGGAGGGACAGAGGAGGCGACACTGGCAGTGGGGGATACAACCTGGGAAGCGATGTGGAACTTGAAGGCTGGGGGCCAGGATATGGGGGAATTTTATCTGTTTTTCCCGAAGTGGAGTTGGCACCTGTGGAGCAAGACAGCGGCGTGACCGGAAGAGAAGGGGAACAAGATGGTGGAGAGGTGGGAAGAGAACAAGATGGCGGAGTGGCGAGAAGAGAAGGGGAACAAGATGGCAGAGAGACTGGAAGAGAAGGGGAACAAGATGGCAGAGAGACTGGAAGAGAAGGGGAACAAGATGGCAGAGAGACTGGAAGAGAAGGGGAATAAGATGGCAGAGAGGTGGGAAGAGAAGGGGAATAAGATAGACATTGAAGAAGGGAGCTGGCCCCCGCGGTGGGCCTGGAGGAGTGGGAAGGGGGGTAGCCAAGCTCTTCCACCAAGTCCATCAGAGAAGAGCTTCCCAGTAATAGGAGTGGGAGAGATCGGCAGTCCTTGGTGGAGGCCTGGGCCAACAAAACTTGGGAAGGAGTACACTTAACACACAGATCTGGGTGGGCATGTGTTGGATTCCCCTGAGGAAGGCGCCGCCCCAAATCACTCACCAAAGACATTTCTTGATGCAACAAGCAAGAGGAATTTATTCAGAAGCCAACTAGTTGGGGTCCAAGTCAGCCCGTCGCAGCGGTTCTCAACGAGGACCCTGAGTACTTACAACTAAGTGGTTATATAGGATTTTCTGAGGCATTCAGCCCTAGAGGATTACCATGGTTACAGATTGTGTTGTAGTAACAAGATAACAATACTACATAGCAAGATAACAATACTACAAAGGCAGTAATTTTTCAAACCTACGATTTCTGGGTTAGTGCCACGTCCTGGGGGTGTAGCAAGGTAGGGTCAGCTTTTATGTTTAACTAACCGAAAGGTTAGCGCTGCCAGCAGTCATGATTGATTAACTTGTTTTTCCAGAGGAGTTACCTGGTTTCAGTTGTTCCCTCTGAGTCATATATCAGAATGGCTTTTTGGGCTTCAAGATGGCTACTCTTAGGCTAACTTATTTCTCAGGGAGGTTGGGGTCCTACATTCCCCACTTGTTTTTCTGAACATTCTAATCATGGAATGTTGGTGTCTTCTTGATGTGTGAGGGTATGATACTGTTGTCTCAGCATTAGCACCTGCACAGCACTTACTCTTTCTCTAATAAAGGTTATTACTCGATTTAAAATGCAGGGACCTAAGGTGAGGAGCAATATAAAAATAAGCAGGGGTCCTGTCAAGGTGGATATTAGAGTTGTAAGCCATGGGGATCTAGAGAACCAGGATTCAAACAGGCTCTGGTTAGCTTCTCGTTCTCGCTTTCGCTGATCTAATCTTTCTCTCAGTTTAGACATTGAGTCTCTTACTACTCCAGTATGGTCTGCATAGAAGCAGCACTCTTCCTTTAGAGCTGCACATAATCCACCTTCTTTTAGAAATAGTAAATCTAACCCTCGTCTATTTTGCAGCACTACTTCAGAGAGGGAGGTTAGGGACTCTTCAAGTTTAGAAATAGACTGTTCTATAGTTCTCAAATCTTCATCGATAGCTATTCTTAGTCCTTCATAATGTTGGTTCTCTTGTATAATTGCAGCGGCCCCTGTTCCTACTCCGGCTGCGACTCCTACTCCTAGTAATACAGCTAGAGTGAGTGAGACTGGCTCTCTCTTATACCTTAGTCTAGGTTTTAATTCTGCCACGAATGATAAGTCATCATGATACATTAGTCTGGGTACTAACTGGACCATTATACAGAATTCGTGGGAGAAATTGAAGACAGAGGTGGAAACACATGGAGTTAGTCCAGTATTACAGGCCCACCATCCTTCAGGTGGTGGGACTAAATACCTGTTTTCTCTTGTGGGGATCATGGGGATGGTCTCATTACATAAATTTTTATGCGTGGCGGGAACCGTACCTAGACACTTTCCTATTCCAGACACTTCGGTTAGTGTTAGCTTTTTATGACTGCCCCAACTACAAATTTCGTGGCTGGTTGTATTCTTAAAATCAGCTGACAATCCCAGCCCTTCATAATAAGGTGGTCTAGAAGAAAAACATAACCAACAGGACTCTGTAGTTTTAGGGTCGGTGGCATTTAGGACTCTGAAAGCTCCCTCAACAAGGTTGAGGAGGCGCTGTCCATTGCTAGAAAAAGAGGTCAGTGGGCTAGGAGCAAAGACGGGGACAGCTGAAATAGTTAGGGTTCTTTTCGGGGCTGGGGTTGGGAGGCGAGGCTGATCTGGTAAGACAGCGTTTGGTCCTACTGGAATAGCTGGGAGGGTTTCTACTTTGAGTCTAAGAGTGAATACAACTCCATTATCATATCCTTCCTGATAGAGTCTTAATCCCCACATGAGCCCTTTTTCCCAATTTGCCTCCTTTCCGGTTTCAGTAAAGGAAATATCAATAAGATTACAGGTAGAGCTGGTCATACATTGGGCCTGAGTACTGTTTCTTTTAACTCTTATAAGACTTGGAGGGGAGCTCCCGGCATTTCTGCCTATCCAATGACATGTCCCTGTTTGTTCACAGCCCCAATTTTTGCAGAAAAAGTCTGCCTGCCCACCACACTGTGAGGCTTTAGCACGATCGGTTGAGGGGGCTGGGCACACATAGAAGCAGGTATCTTGGAGTTTTTTCATAGAAGCCCGAGATCCACATCCTGGCCTTCCTATTCTACCTCCGTGCCGAGGGTCTTGTTTGAAGAGAGTACATATGTCTACAGTGAGGGTAGGCCACCAAGTCCCCCTAGGATGCTGTTCTGTTAACTGGACTACTACTTGGTGGGAAGCTGGGGTAATGATTTGCCATGTCAGTAACCTGGGTTCATGGGGGTTAGGGTTCTGGTGGGTTGGAAGTAGCAGGAGCATCAGAATTACTAACAGCATAATTCTTTTTACACAAGCGAAGCTTAAGGGGGTTATCAGTCCGAGTTACTCGCCAGTCCGGGTCCGGGGGTGCCTTCTTTAGATGTGAAGCGTGTATCCAGGAAGAGACGCCGTCCACTTTTACAGCTGTGGGAGTAGTCAGGAGGACGATGAAAGGTCCCTTCCACCGTGGCTCGAGGTTTCCTGTCCGGTGCCTTCTCACGTAGACTGGGTCTCCCACCTGGAACTGGTGAGGCACCGAGAGGTCTTCTGGCTGATAGGCTTCCTTGATGGAGGCCCACACCTCTTTCTGCACAGCCTCCAAGGCTCGTAACCTTTCAAGCAAAAACTTATTAGTTGCACACTCAGGGAATGTATGAAGATGTGCTGACTGAAGCGGGGCCGGGGCCCCAAACATTATTTCAAAAGGCGTTAGTCCAAAGCGGCTGGGAGTGTTCCTGACTCTAAACAGGGCAAAGGGAAGGAGGACTAACCAATCACATAAGCCAGTCTCTATGGACAATTTAGTCAAGGTCTCTTTTAGAGTTCTGTTCATCCTTTCTACCTGTCCTGAGCTCTGGGGCCTGTATGCACAATGCAATTTCCAATCCGTCCCCAGGATCTTGGCCAATCCCTGACTTACCTGGGCAACAAAAGCAGGGCCGTTGTCGGAGCCGATTACCTTTGGAATCCCAAACCTGGGAAATATTTCTTCAAGGATTTTTTTAGACACCGTCTGAGCTGTTTCAGTTTTGGTGGGGAATGCCTCTGTCCATCCTGAAAATGTGTCTAGAAAAACTAGAAGGTACTTGTATCTATACTTAGCAGGCTTAATTTCAGTGAAGTCAACTTCCCAATAAGTTCCTGGGCGATCTCCTCGAAGTCTTTTCCCGGATATTGCTTGATTTTTGCTCACGTTTACTAATTGACAGGGAACACAATTTTTTACAATCTCGTCAGCTAATTTTCCTAATCCAATAATATGATAAGGGGAGTCTCGAACTAAAGTCTTTAGGTTTTTTGCTCCCAAATGTGTCAGTTGATGTAATTGCCTTAAGTATTCTTCTGCCTCTTTCCGGGGCAGGACAACTTTCCCTTTTTCAGACTTGTATATCTCTTGGGGTGAGGAATTTTTGAACCCTAATTTGTTTATACAAACGAGATCTTCAGGTGTGTACTGGAAGCTCTCGATGTGAGTGGCTTCCGGACACACTTGAAGGGGCAAAATGTTCATTCCCTGAGCCGCTTGCTTTGCGGCTTGGTCTGCTCTCCGATTTCCTCGAGCTATTGGAGAGTCATCTTTCTGGTGTCCAGGGCAATGCATTATTGCTACTTCTTTAGGCCTATGGATGGCTTCCAGCAAATCTAAAATTTCTTGTTTGTTTTTAACATCTTTCCCGGCAGAAGTTAACAGCCCTCTCTGTCTATAAATAGCCCCGTGTATATGAGCAGTGGCAAAGGCGTATCTGCTGTCAGTGTAGACGTTAAGTCTCTTACCTTCTGCCATCTTTAGGGCCTGAGTCAGGGCGATGAGTTCTGCTCGCTGTGCAGAGGTGCCCGTTGGGAGTCCACTGGCCCATACAACTCGGTCATCATCTACTACTGCAGCTCCGGCCATTCTCTTACCATCCATGATGTAACTGCTCCCGTCTGTATACCAAGTCAGGAGTCTCGTTCCCCCTAAGGGCTGATCTTGCAAGTCCTGGCGGGTTCCTGTCTCTTCAGCCAGGATTTCCTGGCAGGTGTGAAGCACTTCTTTCTCCAAATCGGGGAGCAGAGTGGCCGGGTTTAGGATGGCAGGGGGGGGCAAACTCTACTCGATCACGATTCAGGAGTAAGGTTTGGTAGTGAGTCATTCTGGCATTCGACATCCATCTCTCGGGTGGTTGCCGAATTACACTCTCCAACGCATGTGGAGCAACTACAGTAAGTTTCTGTCCCAGTGTCAGTTTGTCAGAATCTTTAACTAGGAGGGCCACAGCCGCTACTACTCTCAAACAGGCAGGCCATCCACTACTTACTGGGTCTAATTTTTTTGACAAATAGGCGACAGGTCTCTTCCAAGGTCCCCATTGCTGGGTCAACACTCCCCGAGCCACTCCACTCCGCTCATCCACAAAAAGGACGAATGGCTTAGTTACGTCTGGCAGGGCCAGAGCGGGTGCCGACAGGAGGGCTTTCTTGATTTCATCAAAGGCCTGTTGCTGTTCAGGTCCCCAAACAAACGGGGCTGCCCCTTTGGTTAGGGGGTACAGGGGGGCGGCTAAGGTGGCATATCCGGGTATCCACAATCTGCAGAACCCTGCTGTTCCCAGAAATTCGCGGACTTGGCGCGGAGTAGTAGGGACCGGGATCTGCGTCACAGTCTGCTTCCGGGCTTCAGTAAGCCACCTTTTCCCTTCTCTCAGGGAATACCCTAAATAAGTCACTTGTTGTTGGCAGATCTGTGCCTTTTTGGCAGATGCTCTATACCCCAGCCTAGCAAGTTCAGTCAAAAGGGCTTCAGTAGCCGCTTGGCAGACCTCCTGTGTAGGAGCGGCTATCAGTAAGTCATCAACATATTGTAACAAGGTTACCTGTGGGTTGGAGGCTCGGTAAAAGGCCAAGTCCTGGTGTAAAGCCTCGTCGAAGAGGGTAGGTGAATTCTTGAATCCTTGTGGCAAGCGAGTCCAGGTCAATTGTCCAGTAGTTCCTGTGGAGGGGTCTTTCCACTCAAAAGCAAACAGCGGTTGGCTACTCTGGTGCAGGCGCAAACAAAAGAAGGCATCTTTTAAATCTAAGACTGTATACCAAGTGTTTTCTGGGGCCAGAGAGCTTAGCAGGTTGTAAGGATTTGGCACAGTGGGATGAATGTCCTGTGTTCTCTTATTAACTTCTCTCAAATCTTGCACTGGTCGATAATCTCCTGTTCCCGCTTTCTTTACAGGCAGCAAGGGAGTGTTCCATGGGGATTTACATTTTACTAATATCCCCTGCTCTATGAGCCTCTGGATATGGGGCCTAATTCCATCTCTGGCTTCTTTACTCATTGGATATTGTCTCACAGTTACTGGTGAGGCTGAGGCTTTCAATTCTATGACCACCGGGGGCTGGTTTACAGCAAGTCCCATACCTGCCGTCTCTGCCCAGGCCCCTGGAAACTGGTTGAGCCACCTCTGATTGACTCGGGAGGGTTCTGGTTCCTTAAAAAGGCGGTACTCGTCTTCTAACTTTATGGACAGAATGCTTAGGCCCAAGGGTTTCTTCTCTCTATCAGTCACTAGGGTATCTTCAGCCTGAAAGGATATTTGGGCCCCGACTTTAGTTAAAATGTCTCTTCCTAACAAGGGTGTAGGGCATTCCGGTATAACAAGGAATGAGTGGTTTACTTGTCCCATTCCTAAGTCCACTGTTCTTTGGGTAGTCCATGCATATTGTTTCTGACCCGTGGCCCCGAACACCCAAGACTTTTTACTAGAAAGGGGGCCTCTAGCTTGGGTCAGTACTGAATGTTGAGCACCGGTATCTACCAGAAACTCAACGGGTTGCCCCTCCACCTTCAGAGTTACCCTAGGCTCGGGGAGGGGCTCCGAGCCCCGTCTTTCCTAGTCCTCATCTTCTAGCAGAGACAACACTTTCTTTGGAGGTCCCCGTGGTGGTTTCTTAGGGCATTCTTTCACCCAATGCCCCTTTTCCTTGCAGTACGCACACTGATCTTTATCCAAAGGAGGTCGGTTGCCCAGGGACCCTGCCTTACTAGTTTTACCACTAGAGGGCGGTCGTCCCTTACTTTCTACTACTGCGGCCAAGATCTTTGTTAAATTTCTCTCATGCTTCCTATCTCTCTTTTCTTCTTTACTTTCCCTCTCCTTCTCTTTCCTTAACTCTTTCTCTTCTTCAGTCTCTCTCTTATGATAAACTTTCTCTGCTTCTTTCACTAAATCTCTCAGCAACAAATCCTGTAAGCCCTCCAATCTCTGAAGTTTTTTCTTAATGTCGGGTGCCGATTGCCCGATAAAAGCAAGGGCCACTGAAGCACTATGCCCCTCAGAAGTGGGATCAAAGGGGGTATACCGCCTGAAGGCTTCTATCAGGCGCTCTAAGAATACTGCAGGTGCTTCAGTGGCTCCCTGGCTAACCTCTCTTACCTTGGCCAAATTGGTGGGGCGTCTTGCGGCCCCACGGAGACCTGCCACCAGAGCCTGACGATAGATGGTTAGTCGCTCCCTACCTTCTGGAGAATTAAAGTCCCAGTTGGGTCTAGTCAACGGGAACCCCCTCTCTATGTCATGAGGGAGTTGCGAAGGCCGTCCGTCGGTTCCAGGCACATTCTTCCGTGCCTCCAGGAGAATCCTCTCTCTCTCTTCCGTGGTAAAGAGCACCTGCAAAAGCTGCTGACAGTCATCCCAGGTGGGCTGGTGGGAAAACATCAGAGACTCTACTAAACCAGTTAGTTTCTGTGGCTCCTCTGAAAAGGGCGGGTGGTTAGCTTTCCAATTATACAAATCAGCAGAGGAGAAGGGCCAATATTGCAGGGGTTGGAAAGGTGGTTCCCCTTCTTCTCCAAGGATGGGAACTCCATAAGACCGGAGAGGAAAGATACCCGGTGGGTCCAAGATGACCCCTCGGCGGCGCCGGGTGCCCTGGGCAGGTCCCGGAGCCTGCCCTACTGCCTCAGCATCAGGGACTGAGGGTGCCGGAGCTGGGGGTGCTGAGGGTGCTGAGGGTGCTGGGGGTGGGGGCACCGGAGGTGCCGTAGGGGCAGGAGGGTAAGGAGGGGGAGGGGGATCATCAATTATAAGCGAATCCTGAGTATCAGGGTAAACTTTGGTAGTTTCCTTTTCCTTTTTCTGAGGTTGAGTCTGGGCAGCTAAAACTCGAGGGCCCATTTTCTTTTGCACCCAGGGCTTTACCCAGGGTGGTGGGTTCTCCACCAACTCTTGCCAGACTACAATGTAGGGTTGCTGATCCGGGTGTCCTTGAGACGAATCCTGAAAGACAACAGCTTTTACTGCTAATAAGGTGGGGAGATCAAAAGTCCCCTCCGAGGGCCACCCAACATTGTAGGTGGGCCATTCGGAGGTACAGAAAGTCTGCCATGGTCCCTTTTTCACTTCTACTGACAAGTTATGTGCCCTCGCTCTAACTTCCGTCCAATGATCTAGCGTCAGGCTAAGGGGAGTCGTCACTGTCTGTCCCATTGTCAGTATAACAATAATTAGACACGTAAAGGACACAAAGAACAAAGACACACACAGATTAGACACACAGCGGCCGCTTTTGGTTCTTTTCAGAGCCTCGAACAGAAACCGAAAGGAATCAGAGGGTTGATATTCTCGGCGCCCAAAAATCAACCCTATCTCATCAGGTTCAGTTTGCCGGAAAAACAGACGGGAGGCTACCAGGCGTCCCTGGCCTCCCAACCTCCCTGAGGCGTCCCCCAGGGTTGCAGCCTGCGGTGCTCTAGTACGTCTACCGACCGCAGTCACAGCCCCTTTACGGGATTGAGACGGCTGCCAGACAGCGGGTACCCTTCAGAACTCCGACCGGTCTCACTGAAACAGAAAACAGAACACATACAACTCAAGGCGCCACCAATCTTACCTCTTCCTCCAAGAGCGACTTCGGGAGTGAAGCGGGGTGGACGCCCGATCCCGGACGAGCCCCCAAATGTTGGATTCCCCTGAGGAAGGCGCCGCCCCAAATCACTCACCAAAGACGTTTCTTGATGCAACAAGCAAGAGGAATTTATTCAGAAGCCAACTAGTTGGGGTCCAAGTCAGCCCGTCGCAGCGGGTCTCAACGAGGACCCTGAGTACTTACAACTAAGTGGTTATATAGGATTTTCTGAGGCATTCAGCCCTAGAGGATTGCCAGGGTTACAGATTATTTTGTAATAACAAGATAACAATACTACAAAGCACGATAACAATACTACAAAGGCAGTAATTTTTCAAACCTACGATTTCTGGGTTAGTGCCACGTCCTGGGGGTGTAGCAAGGTAGGGTCGGCATTTATGATTAACTAACCGAGAGGTTAGTGCTGCCAGCAGTCATGATTGATTAACTTGTTTTTCCAGAGGAGTTACCTGGTTTCAGTTGTTCCCTCTGAGTCATATATCAGAATGGCTTTTTGGGCTTCAAGATGGCCACTCTTAGGCTAACTTATTTCTCAGGGAGGTTGGGGTCCTACACATGCAAAGTCCAAAAAGCCTGCACATATGGGATTCCACCCCATTTTCCACTTCAGTGGCAATAATTAGTCAAGTCGGTGAGGAGGCCAAAATCGAAAGTTCCCTCAGGGGGCCAGCGAGATTGATTGTCCAAAGGATACTGAGGCCAGGCCTGAGAGCAAAGGAAGACTAGTTTCTGTTTGTGAACTTCCTGAGACAAATATAGAGTAGTCAAATTAGAAATGAGACCCCACCGTGGAGTCTGAGCCTTGTCTGCATCACTGTTCCCCATGTCTGCATCACTCCCTCCCAACTAATCCCGCTGAGAGGAGCACCCAGCATCCCAAGCACGCCATGTCAGGGGAGATGTTCTGGGAGTCTGGGTGAGGGATGTCTCTCACACCACAGGGCCAGGGGTGGGCTGGATGCCCGCAGAGGATGGGCCAGATGCCCAGGGGCCAGAAGCCCCAACCTGGACGTAGCTATGATTTCGAACAGACCAGGTGAAAAGGAGTTAGGAAGGGAAACAGACCAGGGAAACTGAGGGACTCACCGGAAAATAGTCCAAGCAGCAGAGAGCAGGCTGAGTTCCCTGGTTGGGGGAAGGAGGGGGCAGGGCCGCTGATGGCCAGTCAGGTCCCTGCACTCACACTCCTTCCCGGGTTTTGGCACCAAATGTAAGATAAATTCTAACTGAAATGAGCAGGCGATGACAGGCAACAAAAGACCAGGCACAATCCCAGGCGAGGTTCACCAGTCTGTGCAGACACAGGCTGGAGAAGTCATGCCCAACCAGACAGGCGGGGAATTTTTATAAGCAAAGGGAAGGGAGGGGGAAGTGGGCCACACCAGGGATATGTGGGGAATTTTTATTGCGTCAGGGTCGGGTGATGGACAGCCAGAGGTCTCCTCCTTCTGGATGGAGGGGGTCTGCATCTGGGGTTTGTCCGCACGTCATGGGACTGGAAACCAGGAAGAGCCGTCCGTTCCTTCCTTATATGGCACAGAGCTATTTGGTGCTGTCTTTGTTCCGCCTGTACTGTCCTTGCTATCCTCTCTTCGGTACCTCCAACTTTACAACCTGCTCACAGTTTCTGATCTGCTGAGGCATGCTTTTATATTTGGTAATTTTCTCAGTCTTCTTATGCATGTATTCAATTTGCCATCTTGAACCAGATTTCAATTTTGAATTTTTAGTGATATCTTCTTTTTAAAAAGATAATGTAAAATGTATTTCAGGAATTAAATATATTTTTTGCTGTTGGTAATTTTAATATAATTTAACATTTTTAGAAAAGATGCAAGAATAGTGTAGAGAACTCTCATATATACTCTACCTAGATTCCCCAATTGTTTACTTGTTGCCCCATTTGCTTTATTAGTCTCTGTCTCCCCTCACTACATACACACACAAGTTCCCCATTACCACTAAGTACATCAGTGTGTATTTCTTAAGAATAAGGACATTCTCTTAACATTATCCTGCTATCAAAATAAGGAGCTATAACACTGAAACAATATTAATATTTAATTCATAGTCCATAGTCAAAATTTCATCAGTTGTCCCAATAAATATTCTTTATAATTATTTCTCATTCCCCAACTACAAAAGCCAAGTCAGAGTCTCACGTGCAATTTATTGCCATATTTCCTTATCTGACCTCAAAAATTTGAAAAGTACAGGTCACTTATTTTGTAGAATTTCTCATTTTGGATCTGTGTGATGTGTCCTCATGATTATATTGAGGTATGCATGTTTGATAGGACTAAGAAGTCCTGTGTCTTTGTATCAGTCCAAATCCAACCAGACCATACTGGTGATTATATGGGAAAAATTAATATAAAGAATTTTTTCTAGTAAATAATTACTAAAGAGGGACAAAAGAGTAATTTAGAAACCTAAAGGAAGTGCCATATTCCCCAACCACAGCATAGAGATTAAGACCTCTAAAGAGGGTGTGGTTCCTGCCACAGTAACATGCAGTCCATTGATGAGGTCACAGAAAAATTGCTGAAGCCTGTGGGTCACTGTTGAACTGCCACTGGGAACCTCTTTATGGTGGCTCCTTTGTCCTTTAGACTTGTCCCCATCATTTTTTGAGCAACTCTTTGCTTTGGGACACACAGATGATCTATGTTTATCTTGGTCCTTTTCTTACCCCAGCATCTGTCATTTCTCCAAGGGGCCTGGTTCCTTTTAGTGGAGAATGGCATTGAGAAACCAACATCTGATTACAAGATGTGTTTACTGCTACTTGTGGGTCACTGCTTTAGTCCCTCTAAGCAGAGTGTTAGGAAGTCTATGTATCTATGTATCTTTCCAAGAGTGAGAAACCAGGTCCCCATTATCATTAATATATTTATACATTTGTTCACACATAAGAAAACAGAAGAAGTAGTTTTATAACTGATAAACCATACCATAGTGTAAAGCAAGCCTACTTATTAGAGTTCAATATTTAAACTTCTATTTTTCTTCTGTTGTTAAGGTAAAATTTATAAGTCATGAAATGCATAACTCTTTGTACAATGCAATGAATCTTGACAAATGCATCATAACTGTAATTAGTATGTAATAAAGATCTAGTAGATTTTCATCACCCAGTATTTCCTAAAGTCCAATAAACACACCTTGTAATCTGATCTTGGTTTCTCAAAGCCATTCTCAAAGGAACAAGGCCCCCTTGGAGAAATTACTGATGCTAGGGTAAGAAAAGTTGTTCATTATTTACTAGTGTAGAAATTGACCCAGAATTGAGCAAGATGAGAGAATTCACAGAAAGGGTTTTTAAAATAGCTATTATAAATACATTCTGTATGTTCAGATGATAGAGGAAAATTGGACATGATGAACAGGATAAGGTAATATGAACAATTTTATGTCAATAAATTTGACAACTTAGGTCAGTGGTTGGTTAAGTATGGTTTGTGGGTTGCCACCTCTTTTGTAAATAAACTTTTATTGGAACACAGATATCTACTCATTTACATTTATCTGTGGCTACTTTTGTGCTACAATGGCAGCGTTCAGTAGGCATGGGAGACAATATTGCTGAAAAAGCCCAAGATATTTACTTTGTGGCCTTTAACAGAAAAATTTGCTGACTCCTGACTTAGATGAAAAGAACAAATTTTTTGAAAGAAATAGTAACTACCAAAGTTTACTCAAGAAAAAATTAGATAGCCTGAATATCTCATGTCCATTAAAGAAGTTGAGTTTGTAGTCAAAATCTTCCCACAAAGAAAATGTAGGGCCCAGATGGCTTCTTCATTGGTAAATTTTACTTTCTTTTGATCTTTTAAATTTATTTTTCTTATCTAAGACTTTCAGTACAATGTTGAATAGAGATGGTAATATTAGATATACTTGTTTTGTTTCGGGTATAAACCACAGTTGTCATGATGAACTATCTCTTTTATAGTTTTTCTGGATTTGATTTGCTGGAAGTTTTTTTTTTTTTAAAAAAGATTTTGTCTGTACTTATGAGGATTGGGTCTGTTTCTTTTCTCATAATTCTTTGTAAGATTTGGTATCAGGGTCATGAAATCCTCCTCAAATCAGACAGTGTAATTTCATTTTCTATTTTCTGAAGGAATTGCATTATTTATTCCTTCAAGTTTGATAGATTATGCTATTGAAGTCATCTGATATGAAGATTTCCTAATGGGAAGGTTTATATTAAATTCAACTTCTTTAGTGGAAAGAGCTATTCAAAGTTTCTATTTCTTCTTGTGCCAATTTGGTAAACTGTGTTTTTCACGGAATTTTTCCATTTTATCTAAATTGTTAAATTCATTGGCATACAGATAAAATATTCACTTATTATCCTTTTAATGTCTTTAACATTTACAGTGATATATACCCTCTTCATTTTTTGTTGCAGTACAGTTGATACACAATATTATATTGGTTTCAAGTATATAACAGTGGTTCAACAGTTACACATTTTATTAAAACCTCACCCCCACTAACATAGTTCCTATATGCCAACATAGAAAGATGTTACAGAATCATTTCATTTCCTATATTCCCCATGCTGTACTACTATCCCTGGGACCAATTTATATTATGATTGAGAATTGTTATGCCCCTTTATCCCCCTCACCCTTCCCACTCACCTCCTAACCCCTCCCCCATGGTAACATCTCAGTGTCTATGAGTCTACTGCTATTTTTCATTTTGTTTTTGTTGTATTTTTAGATTGGACAAATAAGTGAAGTTATTTGGTACTTGTCTTTTTCTGCCTGGCTTGTTTCACTTAGCATAATACCCTCTAGGTCCATCTATATTGTTGCAAATGGCAGGATTTCTTTCTTTTTATGGCTGAATAATATTCCATTGTGTATATATACCACATCTTCATCCATTCATCTATTGATGGACACTTTGGTTGTTTTCATATCTTGGCTATTGTAAGT